GGACAACACTAGTCCTTCCTCAGTGGCGAGTGAGTGAGGGTAGAAAAAGCTAGATGGTATAAAGTGAGAATTTCATGCAAGCATGATTGGAAACAATAGGCTGGGTGAGATTAGAATAAACAGCCTATATATATATATATATATGTGTCTAGTTAAGACTTCTACTGTGTTCATAATAAGTACATTCTTAACGAGATATCCAACAGGAAACGGAGTATATTTGTATAGATAAAGCTAAACAGAAATAAATTAATATATTAGATGATATCAATAGTACTTCGTTATTCATTAATTATGATTATCCAGTTATAAGTAATATTAGAATCTGCATTATAAAAAAAAAAATCAATCACTTTTGTATTACTTATACATAGGCCCACGTACCTTCTTCTCGTGTAGGTGTTGCTGGGTTTGTCGAAGGAGTAGATGTTACCGGTCCGGCTACAAGCAAAACGATATTGGGGGAATTATTATGTTGACAGTAGATAGATGGGTTGGCAGTAAACCGAGTTCTGATTTCTCCTTTTAGTAGCGAGGTAATTTGATATTTTCAGTAAATTAGTCACATTATATTGATAACTATGCAAAGCTCCATATCATAATAACCTTTCACCTATTATTAACTAATAATTACTGTTGAGTAATTTACACACTTTCTGATGATGTATGTAACATACCTTCTCCAGGCATAATAACGACAGTATCACGATCTGCACCAAGAAGTAGGTTACTACCAGTAGGGCGCCCTCCTTCTATTGCATCAATTAAAGTTAACTTGAGTTCAGTTTCAAGGTCTAGTGACGAATTTTCACGTACTTCAAACATTACCTTAAAGTTGGTGATGATGCTTCCCTCCCTTAAAATAAACATCAAAAGTTAGCATCCAAAAGACATTGATTTAAATTATATTAATTTAGAAGACATTATTTAATCTTAAACTGCCGTACGGTATTAAAACTGATTCTAGTTTATCGGTGTTTTATACTACAGTAATTTTATAGTATATGCCTGTTCATAGGAATAAAAAACGTCCTTACTGAAACCCAGTTACTGTCGATCCAACATAGGTTGCATTATCGATGGGCATGTAAATATCATCAAGCTACAAATGAATAATTATCTAATATCAGTTTTACCATTATCATAATTAACAAGAGATCGTGCATACTTTATGTTTTATTGTTTATTGTTAATATTGTATAACTGTCATCGGTCATCATCGTTATTAGGCCTATCATCGTTATCGTAATCCTTGTCATCATTTTCCTCGTCAACAGAATAATTGTCATCATCAACGTCATCATCATCATCATCATCATCATCATCATTATCATCATCATCAAAAAATATCCAAACCACTGCGCCAATAGCTTCTATTTTTAGTAATGGCATATTTCATTAATATATAAATTGCCTGTAGTATTACTTGAAAGACTTGTTGGCTAACTAGCAAAATGACAAATATTTTGTTATTAGGAATCTGAGAAAGCAGTTCGAATATAATTGAGTAGGCCTATGCATCATTTATAATACAGCAACAAATGTCGAAGTAAATGACACCAATCGAGATTAGTGGCGCCAGGAGTTGTCCTACGCAGGATGAGTGACTAAGAGGTCCGATAGGGGTGTCTGATCATTTCTAGCGGGGTCCAGTACAGCCCATGCTGGGGTTCAGAGCTGTGCCACTCCCTGCTGTAGTGGACAATTTTTGGTAATTTTTCAAGCATTCATGAGGACTCTTTAGAAAATGTTTTATTCCTTAATGTTTAAACAAGAACAATTAATACAAAAATAGTGTTTTGGTCAGACGAGTCGTTATGCGATTGGTGGAATTGGTCTGCCTAACTGGGGAGAGGTGGATTCAGCTCCTCTGGCACCACACTGGCGCCGCAACTGACCGGGATACATACATACATAGGTAAAAATACTCACGGATACTTCGATTGCGTCGGCTAATTCAACATATTCCTCAGAACTTGGATCGTTGAATGCTGGTTGAAAATTAGCAGTCGAACCATTGATCGTCAGAAGTGCAAAAGAACCATCGAACGTTCTTGCAACTAAACCGAAATCGTAATTTGATGCAACACAAATTTAGTCCGCTCTTTAACAGGATAATATAGTAATAAGACCAAGCACATCCATTCTAACTAGAGTTCAATACGTGATTTTACTTGAAAATGGCTACTCATTTCCGATAGTGTACGATATGCCATAAAAATGTTTACATCTTACATTGGTGAATCTACACAGGATCAACAATTTGAACTTGTTTCAGCGCAGATGTTACAATGCCTAATACCAATGTAGCAAATGTGTCATGGAGACTTATAATAAATACAACAAAAAACAATAAATAAATAAATAAATATAGGAAAAAAAATGATTAACAAATAAAATCATAAATAATAATATTAAAAGTATGAATGTTTGAATGAATCAACGAAAGAACGATTGAATGAAGGATTAAATGAATGAATTAATAAATGAATTCATTAGTATTTAATTAAATATTAAGTAATTAAAAAATACGAACCAAGTGGTACAAGTAAATTTTCTGCTGGTTCTTCGGTGGGTGTGACGTCATCAAAATTAAACACTTGGAGAAAGAAGCGTTTAATATGATTTGTATTATTATTCTGACGTTATCATCATCATCATTACCGCCACCACCATCACAATTGATCTCTTTATCATCATCGTGATCACTCGGAACATCGTCTTCATCAACAACATCAGCATTATTAACATTATAATTAGGGCTACTCTCATACAATCTTCATCATTATCACCATTATTAATATCATTATCATCTACATACCATCATCATCACCATCACCATCATTATCATCATTATCATTAATATTGTCATCATCATCAGCAAGTAGCATCGTCAAAAACTTTATTATAGGCCTAGCATCATCAACAAAGTATCATGCGTGAAGTCATCACCATCGTCTTCACCCCACCACCATTAGGCCTACATCATGCTCATCGTCACCGTCATCGGTACTATCACTATTATCATCACCACCATTACCATCATCTTCATCGCCGTTACTTATCTGTTCACCATCCAATTTCAGATTTGACCACAGAAAATTGTTTAAGGAATTAATATGAAGAAGATTAAGCCTAATTGACAAAATAAACATGTTAAATATACAATATTTGTTATGAATATAATGATTATGGTGTAGATATGGGGATTTTTTTGTTAAATTTGTTTATCTTTACTTCTGCAAACATTGTCTTATTGGAGATGATTTTTCCTAATTTTTAAACTTCAAATCTAGGGTGTTGTAGGTCTCTAATTTGAGGAGCTTAGTTATTAATGCGAAGTTACATTGTTGAAAATCGGTATCGAATTAGAGCTCCAGGATAAGAAGAGCCTGTATTTGGAAGGTGAGAACTATATTAGAACAAAAAGAAGGGAAAAAAATTAATACAGAATTGTAGTAAATCTTACCGTACAGGCACATGAATATCCCAAATGTAATTAAACTAGCCAGTGTTATCCAAAATAACGTGAGTAACAGTGAATTTGTAATTAGAATTGCCTTTCTTCTATTGAATATTGGCATATCAATAGCTATATGTCTTCGTTGCATACATCCTTTCCTTTTCTTTTGCTGTCTTCTTTTAGATCTGCTCCTCTTATTGTGCCTTACTTTACGATTATTGTGAATTTGCTGTAACGTCGGGTATTGTGGTTGCTGGTATTGTGGCGTGTTGCTTGATAACGTTGAGCTGGGCAATGGGCGGGGAGTGTCGCGATAGGGGAATGGGGCAGGAGGGTAACCACGCCGATCGTGCCATGTAGGTTTTGAATACATCTTAGAAGCTGCAATTAAAAAAATAAAATGTACCAGCTCGATTGTTTATAAGGGCCTATGATGGTATATATATATTGAATCAACTATTGGAAACCAGATGAAACTATTTACCCAATAATATAATAGGCTACGTATGGTTGCAATCATGAGGCAACGTATCACTTTAAGTGGTACCTAAAATCCCACGGCCAACATCAATTGAACATATTTTGATGGTATTTTTGTGTGTGTTGTAGTTCCACATTTACAGTGAAATTAAAAGGCGTTATCCATTTTCACCAGAAAAAATAGTAACCAAGAATTAACTCACCCTCAAAATCGTGTATACCCGTGATACACTCTTTTATAAATAATTATATTTTACACTATCTACAGTATCAACGGGATATGCATCATATGGAATTTGTATACTAATAATTATTACCCTATCATAAAGTGGTAGATATTTGGCTACCAAAATCTTAAGTTTTACTTACGCTTAGACACCTAATTTACGGAGGTTTCATAACAAAATATCCAAATGTTATTAATAATTATGTGACCACAAATGAAATGGGAGGACCCAATATCGATGTCCATGGCGTTTCCCATAGGTCTGTTTCATAATAAATTAATCAATTTATCACGCAACATTTTGGAACGCCTGTTTTTGAGTATTCAACAGGCGCGAGAAATCGAATTTCAATCAATGCATAGTTGCATTGTTTGTAGCTCTCTCTAAAAATGCCAATCACTTTAATCATGGAGGTATTTTTATACCTCCATGCTTTAATCACAAATATATAGCGCCATCAATAGTTTTGTAAAGTTGGAACAACAAAAATCTTTGGTGTTTGAAAAAAAAACAGGTTATTTTTTTGAGTTAAGTTGAGAGCAGTAGTTGCAAGTTTTGACATTTATTTCAATATGGTCTCCAAAAATGTTCACTGTTAATCGTTTATTATTTCATTTTATCTTCTATATTCTGTTTAAAAATATTGGTCGCAAGCAGTTCAATCCCTTCAGTTTGAGCCTAGGCCTAGCATATGCAAGGCCCTAGCTAGGCCTAGTTAGTTGGGTCAGGCCTTGCGGCCAGGCATAGCCTAGCTAGCCTAGACCCTAGGCTACCACCGCCTAGCTAAGCCCTAAGTAGTCCTAGCCTCCTATGTGTAGGATAGGTAGGCTACTACTACTAGCTGGAGACGATGTAGTAGTGGTTTTTTTTTTTTTTATCAGCCATAATTTTTTTCTCTTATCCGAATTATGGTGCAGGGAGTTGGTAATATAGGCCTAATAGCCTAGCCAAGTGTAAGGGCCGGTTTTGTGTACTGTAAGTAAGGCCTGCTCGGGGAGTAGGGCCCTGGGCCTATAGATCCTCCGCTCAAAAATTTGACCTAGGGCCTAAGCCCCCTAGGCAACTAGGCCTAGAAATCCATACCTGCATTTCAAAGAATAAGGGCAAATTTTGCCAAACATTTTGCTTTGGACAAATCTTGATTAATATATAAGTGATCAACAATGCATATGCAGAAATTACTATTCTGTGCACCTATTTTCCAAGCGATTTTTCTCACAAGATTGAGCAGAGTTTTTAGATATATCCTCCGTGCAATTAAAAATCTTAACAGTATGGAGGCCTAGTAGTAGTAGGCCGAGGGCAGGCCTATTATTATGCGTTTTAAACTAGCCTAGGCCTATTTCAACCTTCTATCCAGCAGCATACCTAAAAAACCAGCTCGATATTGCATGGAAAATCGCTAGGAAAATAGGTGTGAAGAATCGTAATTACTACATATATGATACATTGTTTATATAAGTAGATAAAATTTCTGCAAAATGTGCGCTTCAATCAGCCCTTATTTCCAGAAATGGGTGGATGGATTTCTAGGCCAACTTTTTACACTGAGGATGCAGGCCTTACTTTACAGTTTGGGTGATGTATGTGCACTGTGCTGCCTAATCCCCACCAGAAACACCCACAGGAAATAAGTCTTTGGACTTTTGTGGGTTATCCTTTGTGTTTATACTGAATATATCCAATCCACATTAAGGATATCAATGGATAGAAAAGTTCAATGAAGACAAATAGAGTAAATACAGTAATTGTTTATTATATCTCTATGGTTCTGTGCATACAAAATTGCTCTTTTAAAAAAGCAATTTATTTTTTGGAGATTTTTTTTAAAATTTCACCACAAGCAATATTGAAAAGTAATTAAAAATTGTTTATTTACTTACCATTGGACCATAACTCAAGGAACGTGTGAGCAATTTATGTTTTTGCTTGTTAGGTCATTTAAGTATGATGTGTACTTTTAAACACCCATGCTTTTTTTTATCACTTAGTTTCAAGGCTTAATTTAATGTTTTCTTTCCTTTCTCATATGTTATATTCATTATTTTTCAGCAAAGGCTTAAAAATTTTTTATAATTGCAACTTCCTGTTTTTATAGCATGCAATTCTCTACTATTCAGTTGGACCGAAATATATTGGTGAATAGATATCAGCATTAAAATCAACAAACTTAAGTTGATGACTTTAGCACCGATATATTATGTCATGTTTTTTATCAACATATAAATCAAATGAATTTTGTAATAATATATAATATTATTAATAACTCATCATTTTATTTATTTTATCAGATCATTATCACTATCATTACTGATATTTTGCTGGTTGTACAGAATAGATAGAAGATGTCATCTAGCAATGTTGATGAGCAGCATCCAATGTCTAAAAATGATAGGAATACAGGTAACATTTAGAACTGTGTACTAATCAAGCAATAATTTCTACCCTTGTTTCTCATGTATAAGCCCATCCTGTGAACATAAAATTGGGTGACCTTTTAGGTGACTTGCTTTATCCAGCCAGGTTGGCAATGCACTTGGAGAAATTAAATTTTTTACACAAAAAAATATAATGACATCATTTTCAGACACATAACATCATCTACAGTAACTTGTAGGTGGAAGGAAAATTATTAATACCCATACCCAATTCAATTCTTTGGTTGTTTTTTTTTCTTTCTAAGTACTTGTGTTTAAGTCAGGGATTTATCAATCAAGATCCTGGGATTTTAACCAGGGTAATGCCGTACCTGAAATTTAATGTAAGATATGGCGTGGGCTTATCACCAAAATTGACTTACCGTACCTTAGAAACTAGGGTTTGGTATATAAAAAGTACAGTTTTGTTTGTTTATGCCAATTATATATTGTCTGAGCTCTCTTTATTGCTATCGTTAAATTTTTTTTAACCTTTTGCCTTAGCTGTGAAAATGAAAATCTTATTTGCTTGATGTCACTTTTATTGTTTCAGTGCAAATGGCAGGGAGGGAAGGGAGGGGTATTCCATAATCAAAGGTTGCATCAACCACTTATATAGTAGGAAAAGTTAAAAATATCAAGTTTAAATATTCAATTCAATTGGAAGATGTTTTAGGCCTTGGCTGGCTAGCATCATTCCTAATTAGCCTACGAAACTATTAGGCCTTGCTAGGCTAAGGCGAGAAAGATAAGACGATTGTACACACTTGTATGTACTGTATGCCTATTAAAAATAATTAGGCCTATTGTACAAACAAATCTGTTTTACGAACAACCAATTTCCTTGTATGACGACATACATGAAATTTAGTGCCTGCTATAGCCTGTTTCACTCAAAGTTTTGACTTCCCTAGCAGATTTTGAAGCAAAGAAATCTAGGCCTAGGTTGGCAAAAAAATTGCCGTCCTGTAGCAATTCTGGCTCGGCAATATGGTCAGCGATTGCGGACATGAAATTCCCATCGCTGCTTCTCCTTGTGTTTCAGCTGGAGGGCTGTAATACAAGTTACAATAGCGCACTGTCTTTCGGTTGGTCCAGTCTGCATTTATGGCCCATGTGAATGTTAAAAAACGCAGTACACTCTTCAGAAAAGAGTAGGGGATTGTCTCCCGGTGTACTACCCAATCACCACCAGAAGGACCCCACTGGAAATAAGTCAGCTCCTTCTAGACTTTCGTGAGTTATCCTTGGTGTTTACACCGAATATATCCAATCCATTCCAATTCGAAATTCAGGGCTGTTTTAGTCTATAAAGAGCAAATAAAATATACTTGTACACTTGTATTTATAATATTTTAATATATAGGTCTTCCTGCAATTAAAGTCCTTTTGGGACTGGTAGGGTTTTCATGGTCTTTAGCAGCTTGGTCTCTAATTATGATAATAAAGTTGTTAATTTAGGACCACAGAAAAGTGGTCTTTAATTGGAGGGGTTTAAGGAGACCTGTATCTATACTAAAAATGATACCCCATTTATTCATGGTAACTACCAAGAAATTGAGGTTCACTAAAGTCACTTCAAAGTAAGTAAACTTTGCCTTTCATAGTTCTGTTATTCACATATTTTCCTCAAACAGATAGTTACATATTTGGTCTACTACTTCTATACTTCTGTACTATAATTCTGTATATGTAATCATGGAGGCCTTCAAGTATAACTCCATGGTGTGATGTACGGTAGTGATTGATATCTGATTTTAATGCATATGCAATTATTCTATTTAGTGATTGAATTGCTTTGGATATATCCAATGCATTGGGTTAGCAGGTGTTATGGCTTTCAGGTATTGGGTCAATGACGGGTCACCAGACAAAGTCACAAACAGGATACTACCACACTACTATGTAGCAAAATGTTAGGCCCCTGGATACTCCAAGTTAAATGCTATGTGTATTTTTATTGGGTGAGAATATGCTACGTACATCCCCTCATACCAAGGGCCAATGTATAATTGATACATACTGTATCTTTTAATAGATACTGTAGATTTCCAATGCATCCTGTTTTATACCTCAGGATTTACTCAAAGTATTTCCGACTAATTTAGGTCTCTTTTTTTTTAACAGGGGATGCTCCTATTCAGCTCAAACGCACACTCTCTGCTGAAAAACAATTTTACAGTCAAGCTGATACATTTTGTCTGCAAACAAAGATCTTTGAGGCCATTGAAGAATTGAAAATAAGAAGGGTTTGTATTTCTAAATATCATAATTTCAAACCCTAAATCAAATGCAACAGGTAAAAACCATGTGGAAGTGTGGCCCAAAACTCTGAAATGGAGTGTATAATGGTCATAATTAGAGGGAAATGTGTGTTGCCCAAGCCTTCCTAATAAAAAAAAGAAACAATCGAGGGTCGGCATTTTCTTCTTTTTTTTTTTGCCCAAAGGAAGCCAAAATACATGTTCAATGTTCAAAAGGTCACTTTTCAAGCATCAGATAATAAATTTAATACCTTAACCTTGGGTTGCAGTAATGTTGTTAGCATTTTACCAACCAAAATGCATGGGGATGGGTAATGGTTGGCAGTTAATCCTAAAATTGGGCCTTCACCAGACTCTATAGTTTACCTCTCGCACGTTTCTTTGTAAATCTGTTAACAATGATCTTATCAATGTTTTGGAATTGGGCTGTGAATGGCTTGTCAATTTTAACCACAAGAAAACCAACCTGATGACTTTGTCTCGTGCTCGAGATCTCAACTTTCCTCTTGTCTTTATGGGTTTGATGCCTATACCTACATCAGAAGATATTCATATCCTTGGGATTGACATTTCATAATTCTAAATTATGTTGGGGTAATTACATTTCTTGTATAGGTAGGAGTAAAGCAGTGTGTTTGGGATATTTATTTAGAGCAAGAAGATTCCTTCCTCCTTGCTCGCAGAAGAGCAGTTGCCTCCCTTTGTTTATTTTATCGATTTGTGTTTTGAATTTTGTTCATCTGGTTTATCTGATCTTGTTTCACCATCCAAATTATTTTGGTTATGTCACTAGGCTCTCAAAAGCTTCTCACCATCTTACTTGCAGAACCAAGCAATTTGAAAGGAATTTTTTTCCCCCAGAGCCACACCTTTGCGGTGCTTCCAAGAGAATGTGCGCATGCTCTTCTCACAAATCGAGACCTCCACAGCCGATCGGATATTTTATCTATAGGCCTAATCTCAGTGGTAAAAGTTTAAATAAATTTGCATAAATATGACCAATATAGAAGAAACTTTGAATTATCATTATTTGAATTGAAATTTGTTAAAATTCAAGAATAGGAATTCTTTTGAAGGGAAGGTACTACAACCATGCCGGTATTAAAAATAACTTTACTTTTCTATTTCAACTAGAAAGCAATCTGATTCTGTATAGTAGTAGCAGGCTTACAAATTTTTCCTACTAGCAGGCCCTAGCATCAGTGACGTAGGGGTTTTGAAATGGAAAGGAGCTGATGGGGGTGGAAAGGTAAATAGTGGGGGATTGGTGAATAGGTGAAGGGGATAACTCGCAAAATGAGGTAATTTGAGGTGATTTTTAAGTACTTGAGCATGATTTGTGAGCGGGGCTCTACTGGGGATGGGCGAGTATTTTCTTTTTCGGGGATTGGGGGAAGTGCGCGCCCCTCTCACATCCTATGCCAATACCTAGCATACCGTGCAATTTACCCTACGGTCCGCCACTGAGTGTGAATCTACACCTTATCCACTCTGAAATGATTCTTTAAAGTTTGCTTGATTGAAATCTTTTTCTTTTTGTCCTGCTGTTTTCCTATTTATCTAGCCTTTACCTTGAGTGGCTTTTAGCCTTGTATTTCAGTAAAAAAAAAAAAATTCAAACGTGCAACCCTGATTTTTGAAAGTATTGCTAATAACTCTGCTTGGATAGTTGCCCATGAGCAACATATGGTAGAGTAGTTAATAATTCTGAAAACCAAAGACATCTAAATTATTTTTCTCTCTGTGTTTTATTGGAAATTAAAATGTACTTGATCCTATTAAATTAGTAGAACTCAGTGTATTTATTGAATGTATTTTTTGGTTTCTTACAATACGATAGACCATATTACTGTATATTTAAAATGTGTCCTTTTTCTTTCCATCTTCTCAATATTGTGTAGCAATTTTTCTGTCACAGTCTTGCTAATTTTTCCAATCATCTCCAAGCCCTCTCATAAAACGTACTTACAAAAATTTGCAATTTCTTTTTTCCATAATTTTTGTTTTGTTTTAATTTAAACTATTTATCATATGTTATTTTAAATGTTTTACCATGTCCTCTAAGTCACTTATACCAAAAGTTTTAATCTCTTGAAACATTGTGTAATAATAATTAATATACTACAAGATCATTTCCTGTAATTTGCATCTACATGTTACCGTATAATTATAGTTTTGTTTCTACATGATTTTTAAACCTTTGTCCACACTATCCTGTGTTATGTGGAATTTGCGTGATTTGCCACGTAAATTTGATGGCAGTGGTGGGTCCAGGAATTTGAAATATAGAGGATGCCCTGGGATTGACTTAATACCGGATTGAGTATCCACCTACTTTAGCCTCATGGTTGGGTCTGAGGTAAGAACAGTTATGATTGTGGCACCTCTAGATGGCTGGGAATTTTCTCCAATTTTTTTGTTGATAATTTTGAAAAATTTAGGGGCAGGGGAGGGCTAAATCTGCCACTAGATGGTGTGGACATAGGTTCAGAGATTTTTTTTTTCCTTTCTCAGGAACTTCATGCTGAAGCTGAAGAAAAGATACAGCAACTTCTTCAAGAAAATCTGAATCTTCAAAAGAAAATAGTAATATTGTTATAATAATAATAATAATAATACAGTTCTCCCTCCAATTAAAGACCACTTTTGGGACTAGGGGTTTGGTGGTCTTTAGCAACTTTGGTCTCTAATTAGAATCAATCCAATTAAAGACCGGCACTACTGGTCTTAAATATCACTATTTAGAGAGAAATTAGGAAATGATACCGTAAATGCAAGATTGTCGTATTCATAGTGATTCAGAATGGATTTACAGTTTACAGTTATTGATTCTTAACAAACCATTTCTGGATATTCAAACATCAAGTCCTGTGCTCATTCAGATAACTAAATCTCCAGTACTATTTCTAACAACATTGTCCTACTAAATTTTACATACTTTTAAGGTTAAATGGGTTTTATTTCTTTTATTTAAGTTTTACTTTCATTAGTAATTTTAAAGGTTTTAATAAATTTTAATGTTTGTTTTAGTTTTTAAACAACTTTTATGTAATTTTTTTATTTAATGGACCCAATGGAAATTAACCGATTCGGTTTTTTTGGGTTATCCTGAGGTGTAAATGTTTTACTAAATTATCTTTTTATATGTTCATTGTTTTGTTATTTGTAATGTGTAGAATTATGCTCAAATAAATTTGAATTGAATTGAATCTATCTGTATATATAGGCCTATTCAATAGCACTGTTTACACAGAACATTATCTGTTGTGTATCACTTTGACGTGTATGTTCATATCATCATCATTATTTTTTTTTAAAAAACTGCATTAAAGTCACTATGTATTGTAATGTATACTTTATTGAAGGGAAAGTTTTTTTGTTTAGTTGGATCTGCCAAAACCATATAATACATTTAAGTATGAATCTCCTATTAACACAATCGGTTTTCAATGTGGAGCAAGTATATACATCTTCAGTAAAATCACTATTTATATTTTAAAACTAGTCCTGATTTAAAGGAGAAAATTTTCAGTTTTCTGCCAAAAACTATCTATGGGTGTCTAAGGGCCTGTTTCTACTGATGAGAAAGAACTGTTCTATGTGGCCAAGGGCCCACAAAAAGGAACCTTTCCTTTTGCCATATTAAAGAACGGTTCTTTGACACGGAATCAATATCGTGTCGAGAACGCTGAAGAAAGGTTCTTCGTATACAGGGGTCCAAAGTCTTGTGGGAGTTAACCGAAAATTGGGACGGCTTCCCGCACTCCCGCAAGCAAGCATGAATTTGCGAAAAATAACCTATTTTCCGCAAATTCATAATATTTTGCATGTTTTCATGTTTTATCTTTTATCATTAGCTGTTCCCTCTATTAAACACTCTCTACCAAAGACCATGGTTTTGGGAGACCCAAATAAAAAACTGTTCTCCAATAAAAACCACTATAAAATAGATAATGATAATTCAATTTTTCTATAATAAATTTTTTTATATATGATTTACACATAAAAATATTAACCAATGCACATAATAAGATGTTGTGTATATATAGTGTTTTTTATGTATATTGTTGAATAACTATAATGTTAGGGCAATGTTAGTAATTACTGTAATATTTTAATTGAGTTGGGTAAAACGAGTACAGGACTTCATGTTTGGCTAACATGAAATGTTTTATTAAGAATATGCAGCCTGAGAATAAGTAAGGCTCATGCAGTCATCCATTTTAAAACATAAACATTAAATGTATTATTTCTTAATTTCACTAAAAAAGACAGAAATCTAAAGACTGCATTTAGTGCCCAGGTTTCCCAAGTCTCCTTGAGAATCCCAGGATACCATAGTAGCTGGTTTTTTTTTGTTTTTTTTTCTCTTTTGTGGGATCGTCCCACTTTTATTTCCTCATAATGTCATAAATACATATATATATATATATATATGTATATATATATATATAACGTAACATATGGCCAACATTTTAATAGTTTTTTTTTTTATGTCAATATTTAAGTCAATATACTGTATCATTTCACATCCATAAGTTATAGGTAAACATACAGTTGCATACATTAGTCAAGAACTCAACCATGATACTTTTATTATTCCAGTTAATAACGATAATTGTATTAAAAAAAATTACATCAATAATAATAATAATATCAATAATAATAATAATAATAATGAGTGGTAATTTCATATAAAATGCAGTTATTCCCATAGTTAAATTACCAAATTCTTGAATTTGCTTGCTTTGGCTGATAAGGTATTTTGTTGCAACCTTTTCCTATATTTAAGCTCAGCTAAAAGAATTGGTATAATATGTTTTAATAACTGCATATTGTTGTCACGTGATTTTAGCCATGTTGAATAAATAACGAAAGCGGCTAATGTAATAAATTCATTTACGACAGTAGCTGGTTTTAGTGAGGCCGCCAACACCATGTTGGAGGGCCTAAGTGACGTATCAGTTTAGACCAGTCTCTTTTGGCACTTGTTTAAATTATGGTTAAAAATAAAGATTCTTGCAATAAATACTTTTTAATAATAAAGTTAAATTTAACATAATTTTTATTTTTCAAGTCATCTAACAACTTGACGTGAATGTTTATGCAGTTTTAAAATGCTCAAGCAAAGTTATTTGTGTTGTTAGTGATGGACGTCACAAAATAAACACGACTTCGCTTGCACTTACATTAAGTTTAGATTTATTATTGAAAAGTTTTGCAAGAAGCGTTATTTTTAACAATAATTTAATCGGATGGCTTCACTTTTCTCTATACCGTGATTGGCCGATGAGCAATCCAGCTATTATAGTAGAGATCAGTGGTTTATATTCAAAAGCCTTATTACAACAAATTTATTTAATTGACAAGATAAACAAATCATTCCTCATTACCGAATAAAAGCTCATTTATTTTGGTATGCAATAAAACAATGGCTTACAGCACAACAACAAAAAATCTTTTAGGTTTAACTAGATTAATTTATTTTGTCATAAATTCTATTGTTTTAATTAGGATGCAGAGAAGAAAAGCAATTTGATAGAGACAGAGGAGCATAACATGCAGATGGGTGAAATTAAGAAAAAGTTCAATGATAATTTGATATCCATAAAGGAAGACAAGGTACAATGTTGGAGTCAGCTCTAGCATAGGTGGCAAGGTTTCTCTTGTATCCAATTACAAGCTTTATTCATGTGAATCTTTATCTTTTCCGACTACTCTTATTTCTAAGTTTGTGAAGAGTCTGAAGTTGATCAACATCAATACTATTATTTTGTAATCTTTTTTTTTTTATATAGGAAAAGCATGTTCTGTTGACAGAAACCGCAGAAAAGGAAGTACTAAAACTGAGGGATGAGATTCGCAGTATGCTAGTGAGTATAGAAAGCTGAATATCAAGGGAAGATCTGAGATTTTGAAAACCTGTCTATATAGCTCCTAAAAAGTATTGTTTTCCCAGCCCAACCCACCCAAAATTTTAAAAAATTCTAGGATTAGCTTGTACAAATATAATTTTTTACCATAATGTTTCAAAACGCCAGTTTCTAAACCTGTAATAAATTTGATGTCTAAACCATAGATTTTCACACTGTGGTTTCCATTTTTTTCCATAAAATTACATGGGAAAGGTGATGGTAAGCAATTTACTTTAGTACTAGGCCTATAGTATAATTTTTTAAATTTTATTTTAATCACCATTAAAATAAGTAAGTAAATAATGCTGGATTGGTCATCCTCTTGAAATTTTTATTTTTATTCCACAAACTTTGGAAGGGGGGAAATAATTTACCCTCAAAAGTAGCTTACTGCACAATTTATTTTTAATTTATGTACATATATATTGTATGTATGTGTGTCTATAAAAATCATATATACATTATTGGATATATAAAACTTGATTTATATTATATGTTTATATATATATAAATATATATATACATATATATATATATATATATA